GGGAAGCTGCTATTCCGCCTTCGACCACTAGAGGGGGATATTTTGTTTCTTTTTTTCTTGGGTCAAGAAAGGTTCAGGGAAGGCAGGGAAAATACAGTCCAGGCAAGTACAGTACCAGGCAGTCCGAAGACTGTCTCCCAATCCACTCTCTAAACGCTCGGAGGAGTGAGGAAGCAGACAGGCACCCTTTTCACTGGCCAACAGTTAACTGAAAGTTCACTTTTTGCACTTTCCCTGCCTCCCACGTGGGTTTTTTTCAGTTCTTAACTCAAATCTAAGTACTTAAGTCAAGTCAATATTTTCCTGTGAGAGTGGTTCTTAAGTCAAAATGTTCTTAACTCAAGCCGTTCTTAAGTCAAGACCCCACTGTACCTCTCTTTGTTTTAAATCAATTTTACTGCCATAGATTTTCACTAAAAATATTGTGAACTGTAATTTGGTAACAGTGCTGGTAGTTCTCTATCAGCTGGCCCTGACCTTCCCCAGACTGATGTAGTTTCCAGAGTTTTCTGGAAAATGGTATCTCTGTAAGGTGACCGTATGCTCCAGAATCAGATTTCTAAAATCATCTACAACACACAAATATTCCTTAGCAGACATGTCAATTTAATCTTGGCAGTAAATTATGTGAAAACCACTGACAGAGGTAGCGGAATTTTACCAGGTTTTTCCCAGGTGGTGATAACCGGCAGAGTTCCCAGTGAAGTGCAGACAAGACACAGTCACACTCTTGTAGCAGAAATACTTGGTTTACATGCAGAATATTTACAGATATTTACAGCTTCAGTCCTTGTTCTATACACGGCAGTTTCACAGTCACAGAGCCTTAAATCAAATCAGCAGTCCAGTAAATAGTCATATACCATATATCAGTCCGTTCTGCCAGAGTTCCACTCTCCAAGCACGTAGGTACGGCTTCCTCTGAACTCTCAGGCTTGGCTCCACAGCTAGGCTCCAAGACTACAGCACTTCACGACGATACAGCAACAATCCATCAACAACCCAACAGCAAACCACACTGTTGTATTCTAGGTCTCCAACTATATACTAAAGTTAACCAATCATAGCCACCCTTCTGGTACATTCTAACACAGCTGTCTACACTCATGTTTGGGTCTCCTTTACAGTGCTGTTTCTTACAATTACTTACTGTCTTTGTGCTTAAACTGCATTTAACAATTTCAGGT